TACAGGGAAATAAGCTTATTTTCAACGCAACTTCCGCGCGTTTCTGAATGTTATTTATCATTTAATTCACTCGGATAAAACAACAAAACAACAACAACAGTTTCAATTTCTACTTCTACAGGGAAATATTACTTACTTTCATCGCAACCTTGTACGAGTCGAAGGTGTGAGGTACCGACAGGTCCATGGCGTGGTAGCGATCTAACAAAATACCGAAGCCGTTGATAAGAAGGTCTTTCTGGCCGTACACGACCTGCCCCGCCATGCCATGCCACGTGCCATTCACCAGGTCGCCCCAGTACCCGTCAGGAGGCTCTACCTGCAGCTCGTATGTGAAGTTCAGTTGCTCAGCGATCTCGTCCAGCATCTTCTTGCAGATCCCCGTGGCGGTTCCCTCTGGCGGGGGCGCAGTGAATGAGGGCAGTTATAGGCCTATGTTGTTCGACATTATCAGCTAATACGCACACAGCACAGTAACATACATACACACACACACACACACACACACGCATACGCACACACTCACATTTAATATATATATATATATATATATATATATATATATATATATATATATATATATATATATATATACACACACATACATATACATATATTCATTTTTATTTTTAACACGCATGTATATATGCATATGTATATAAACGGATGGGTAAATAAGCAGATAAAATAAGACATTCTCCGTCACAGACTTGAAGCGCAGGAAACGCCATGCTCACTGCTGTCGTAGAAGAGAAACGGAAAGTCGTCTATCCAGCTGGCGACTTCCAGGTGGCGACCCTCGAAGCTTCCAAATCGTTCTGGAAACAAGTCGTCCCAACTGAACACAATCCTCGAACCACATGACTGTTGGGAAAGAAAGAAAGAAAAGAAAGGGAGTGAGGGGTACAGTGTGTGTGTGTGCATGTGGGCGATTGTTCATGAAGGCTCGTGTTAAAGGGTGAGACGTGGTTTTGTAGTGATTCGGGAAAGTTGGGGATTTTTTTAAGAGAAAAAATAAAAGAAAATACCGCAGCTGAGCGTACATTAAACTGAACTGTTCTCTAAAAGTTTAACAAAGAAATAAGCACTGAAGTTAACAGTTCTCTAAAAGTATAACAAATAAGCACTAAAGTTAACGGTTCTCTAAAAGCAAAACAAAGAAATAAGCACTGAAGTTAACAAAAGAAAATGAGCATTGAAGTTAAAAAACTCTATAAGCATTGAAGTTAACAGTCTCTAAAGTATGAGTTAACAAAGAAGACACAAAAGAAGGTAATAACCTGGACTACGATATTTTCTGCCGACGAAGCGAAGGGCCGATACGTGAGCAGACAGAAGGTGGGTCGTCCTCGCGAGAAGTGTGGCTCCAGCAGAGACGACCGAGCCACCTTGTTCACCTCCTTCAGGATGTCTCTGCTCCAGGTCAGCACAGGTCAAGGTCAGTTTATTTGGAGAATGAAACGAATTTTCTGGTACATACCATGGATTTAGTATCTCATTATGCTGGTGAGTTCTTTGGCAAATTTAGGTTTGGTAACTTCTCTGTAAACGAAATGAAGATATTTGAATTGTTCAGTAAAAAAATATTAAGGTTCTGGAATCTATTTGTACACGAATTAACCCCATGTAACTTTTCAGTTACTCCGATCTCAGTGGCAAATATCACGTCATTAGATGAAAATTAACAGAATCCTTGATATACAACTATTATTGAATTAAAGACGTTTTACATAAATGCTTTATCATGACATCAGCTGTGATATTAATGTGTAAATTCCCGTATCTAAGGTGGTGTTGATCGTAATGAATGTGCTGAACGATTTAGATTTAAGAACGGTAGTAAAATAAAATATTTACCATATATAATAAACTACAATTATAATTAATAACTGGGCTGAAGAATACCAGTGCGTCAGTCTTCATAATAGTGTAAATTCCAGTTCATAATAAGGCAGAAACTGGCCATCGCTGAATGCCTGTGGTGGTGTCATTCTCACAATCCACTTTTGTCCATTGGCAACTGCTTACTTGCTTCATGAAACCGACAGAAAAAAGGCAGAGCAAAATTGGAAGTGACGATGGCTATGTTAAAATCACGCAATGGGACGATTATATTTATAATTTATTTCCACATAGACTTGAAGATGAATGGAAGTGCAGAGTACGATCGCATTAACACTTTGCGTCAAAATGTACCCAGTTTGTGCCTGTGTGAATGTCCAGTGTGATAAGCATCTTACAGATTAGTGTTTCGCGTGGCTGTGTCGTGTTTCGCTGAATATCAAATATAGATTCAGGAAAAAGGCAAATAAACTTTATAATCCTGAATGATATCAGAAATACGAAAGCATACCTGGAGTCTTCCCCCGGCGTGAGGCTAAGGAGCAGGAGCGGGCAAGGGATCCACAAAACATCTTTTGCTTCAATGAATTTCCTCACAACATCCACGTCACTGAACACCATGACAACAATGCTCTTTTCTTCGTTCAAACCACGCCGGAAGTTAGGAAAGTCTCCTCTCTCCTGCAGAAGGCTCAGCATGTTCCCCAGCTGAATGGAGAGGTGGTGGGGTGACGCCAGGAAATTCTGAAGGACGTCCAAGGCTTCAGGAGAACCGTCTTGAAGAATAACGGAAGACTCGGCTGCTCGGACGGCCATGCTTATGAGCTGCGATTCTTCATGGACACCGCCAGGGTTTCTCGGAAGCCCTGGTCGGAGGTTTCTGTCAGACGCTGTTTGTTGTGCTGGAAGTTAGGTCGATGTTATGATAATAATAATGATAATAATAATAATAATAATAATAATAATAATAATAATAATAATAATAATGATTATCATTATTATTGTTATAATTTCATTTATTATTTTTTTTGTATCGCACATTTTGATGATCCAAGATTCACTTTTTTATATCTATTTCTAATCATAAACTTACCTGTACACAACATAATCGGGATTTATAGCTTAAAAGATTGAAATAAGAAATGTTGAATGCACATTTACGAGTTTGTATACCATGAATAGAATGTCATTGTCATCGAACTGTTATTGGGGAGAAAACATGATGAATTGCTTTGTTGTTCTCATATTTGGGTTGAGACATCCAATATCTTTAACACAGTATAACAATAATTTTCACAAGATCTTTATCTCACGTTAACTGACACTTTTCTTCTTCTACAAACAGACCATAATTCTTGCATGAATGTGCAATGCCAAGCGTGAGCATATTGTTGCAAATTCTGTTAGTTGACGGAATGTCTTGGAATCTGAATTGCATATTGATCAGTCCATATAAAAACGCTGTTGCACGCGAATCTCTTCTCACGTAAGTAGTCTCATGACTGAAGATGGAAGGTATTGAGGTAAAATAAATTGAAAAAAGTAGGAACGCATAAGATTGGTTATCATTAATCTACGTAAAAATGCAAGCAAGTGGTAAACCCAAAGAAATATGGAATTATAACTAGCATTATTAAGAGGTAACATGGTATCGATCAAAGCAGTTATCTCACATAGTCTAGAAGGGCATAAGCAAAGGGAATTTTCTGCACTTCCAGAGTTATAGCAAGAAATTCAATATATCTTAGGACAGGGGCGGCCAATCTTTTGTGAGATGTGATCTATTTTTTCTACAGTTACCCTGATGCGATCTACCAGCCTAAGATTCAGACATATTCCATACATGTAACTGTAACAGTGTACCATCATTATAAATATAAATATAGCTTATTCCCATAAAAAAGAGAAATATAATCCAAGTATCATGAGTACTTGGATTGCAGCTATTTGCATGACAACTTCTGAAAGACGATTTATTATCAGGTACAGTAGTGTGATCGACAAAACAGGCTTGTGATTGACCAGTTGATCGTAATCGTCTGGTTGCCCACCCCTTAAAGGATAAATTATTTAAACATAAGATATTGATGACGGTCTATGTGCATGTTCGGACCATAAATTCTTTATTCTACGTAGTGCATAGTGTCCTAGACTTCCGAGTATTTATTAAAGGAGAAGCGTACACGACATAGGCCTATATATTCCTTTATGTCCGGGCTATCTATGTATGCCTAGTTTGCCAATCTTTCGTCCACCCCTTCAGCACATCTTTCTATTATTTACTTGTTCTTTATCCTTAACACTGACACAAGTAAGAATCCCTGACGTAAGAATTCACTCACGTGTACTATTATAGATGACAGATCAGAGCTATGAGATACTTACCACCGGCGTGGGACAACAAGGCAGCCAGCACGAAGACTTGAACAGCTGACGTCATCTTACGTCATCACCTGTTCGGCACAACAAACTGCTGTTTCGAAAATTGGGTAACTTTAAACAATGCAACAGGACCTGTAGGATATATTTGAAAATTTGTGTAAAAGAAAACTGTTTGCAGCTTAGCATACAGGCGTTATGGTGGCCGTGAAGGTTTCAATCTAATGATTTCGATATTTTTAAATTACGTCACACGTTATTTTCAGGTTACTTATACATATTGCTGATGTCCTAGTAAACATTTTGCTCCCTTTACTTAGTCTCCAAACTTCTGGAGAAATGGCTTGTTTTTTCATTATACGCAAATTTATAGGATGGCTGTACATGAATCCCACGGCAAAGCGGGATTGGTCAGAGTAGAAGAGCATTGCAAAATAAGCGTACTTCGCTCACAGAGATAAAGTTAAGTCATATGTTATGACACGTAAAACAAGTGATATTTTATCAGATTCAAATATCGAAGAGCAACACGAGGTGTTTGTTTTGATGTGCGACTGATATTAACGCCTGAATTCCTTCATTAATTCCTCAACATATGGAAAATCACAAGTATATTGTTGTGAAAGCACCAAACGAGGCGGTACAGACCTGCTTATGCTCCAACAAGCGATCACTTGTTTCGAAGAACCTAGAACCTAGCCAATGATGCGCCGCTATTTCCCTGCAACCTCTGAGACACGAATGCTGATATCGTGGGTTTGCACTTGCTTATATGCAAT